TTTCAGTCTTGTGAAGAATGTCTTGCTTCGCTGACTGTGGGCCGCACGTATGGTGCACACAGCGGCTTCAAGTGGAAAGTGAAAACGGAACTGCAAAGTCAAATGCAACCTAGGGTGTAGAGATTATCGAGGGGAATGGGAAAGAAAATGGAAACTACTATATCACTGGGAATTATATGGTAGTTTCTTTTAAAAAGGCACCCCAATGTAGACCCCAAATACTCACTCACTGACTCACTCGCTCACTCACTCACTCACTCAAACTGGCGAACACGTCCATGTCCCATGTGGGCCTGGTTGCATCAGGCTCCAAAGCAATGTAGTCCTTGTTATGGGCACCCCAAAAACGTCATCCTAATTTTGGAAAGACCCCATATAGGGACAACAATAAAGATCCATTCAAGTTGCGCTCCGGATGGCTGCGACCTCAGCGCCTCCCATGTCGAACCTGGTTGAAGGATGCGCAGGCATAATTATTCGTGTAAATACAGGAATTATGCGGCCCTGAACCTTAGACCCACACCCCGAACCCTAAAAAAAACAGTACTACACACAACAACTATGGAGTATCAGATTTGCGTACCATAGGCAAAGCTAGGTTGGGTAATGTTGGGTTTATTCACAACCAAACCCCAAACCGTAAATAGTAGTTTCCATTTTCTTTTCCATTATCCCCGCAAATACCCTACTATAGTGGTCTCCATTTTCATTTCATTTTTCCCTATATAACCCAAAAGATCTATCGGAGGGCTCAGGGGTTGGGTTTTGGGGATTGTTTAGGCATCTACCTTAAACCAGGACCGGAAGGAAATTGGCATACGTCCAGCGGCCAGGGCAAAAATCGATGACTTACTTACTCACTCACTGCCGTGTGCAGATAACTATCTTGAAAAAAATGGGGATTCAATTAAAATGGTACTAACCACTTGAAGGTGAAAATGCACCGCTGCTCTTCAAACGCTCCCGCCACGAGATTGCACCGTTGTAATGTAGCACCAGCATGTTTCAAAAAAGGCGGTCACAACATGAAGTCACTCTGCGAGAGCCTACGAAACCTTGAAAATTTCACCGAAAAGAATCAAATCAAATCCACAAGCCTGCAGAAAGCTACAGGTTCCTTTCACGACCAAAGCCTAGACCCTAAGTGCAAATGATTCCAATGAATTCAAAGCCGTATCCCTCTGCCGATGACTACTATCAAAACCACTGTTAGACTTACTACGCATATCATGGGCTATTTGAAGACAAAAATGATAGTAGTCTCTTCCTCCTCCTGCTCTGCTGCTGCCGCGGCTGCCACCAATGCTGATTTCTACTCTCCCAGTATCTGCGTATAGCGCTACCACTCGTGCTGCAAGTAAGACCTACTGATTGCAGTACTACAAGAAGCACTAGCAGTATTTTGAACGATGAAGCTCTGAATATGCGGGTCTTTGTAGACTCGAAAATGCAATAAGCCTTTTTTGGGGGGCTCCCAAAAAAGATAAGTAATTCTTCATCCAGAGGCCTGACAGCGTGGACGCCCCACGCTCCTCGGCCGCCGATGGCAAATTAGGCTGCTGGGGCGCCAGGGAGGATGGCGCAAGGAAGGCCTCTCAAAAGAGATGGGGCGTCTGACTTATAGTTTGAGATTTGAGGCTTCAACTTTAAGATGTAGGAGCTGGGGTATGGCTAAATTTCTCAAATTTTGACCCAGGCTCTGAGGTGTAGGCTTACTAGACGGAATATCATGCCTGGGAGGAGAGGTCCTGTGGCAGACTTCGGGCGTCGGATTTCGGTTTTAGGGTTCAGGGTGTTGAGCGAGGAGAGCCCTTGAACAGAAAATCGCAACAGTTGCAGCAAGCTTCCGAAACAGCAGTAGCACTTGTAGAAGCGCTGAAGCACACACCCCACCGAATCCCTACCAATAGCGCTGGTCAGAAGAAAAATGCAAACCCCAACTTCAGTACATACCCATCTAGGGGATTCTTACGGGTACCACCTGGGACCCAACTGTACATATTTGAGGGTTCCCGAAATCAAGTGTACCCTATCATTTACGTTCCATCTCCTTTCCCATTTGATTCTCCATAATCCCAAACTTTAAACCTTAAAACCTAAATAATAGTCTTCACCTCATTTTCCGTAATCTTTTGCATTTGGCTCTCCATGATGGCAGTTTCCAAGTCCTAGTCCAGCTTTACCCTAAATGGTAGTTTCCATTTTTTTCCCTTCCCCAATATATCCCTATACCCCTAAACCCTAAACCCTAAACCCCTGATCCCCATAATAGTTTCCATGTCCTTTTTCAGCTTTTGGAACCTCCCAGCCTGCTGGAAGCATGCCAAACACCCGAGGCCCAGCAAGCACAGCATCCCTAGCCCCCGCATGCCGCGCTGAAGGCTGCGAGGCATACTTCGACAAAGTAGCACCATGGCGGCGGTGTCCAGAGTTCGGGTTTAGGATGTGTAGTGGAGAATCGTGGATGTAGAGTTCAGGAGTTAGGGCAGGGTTTCCAGATGTAAGCCCTAGGGCTCCGGACTCGGAATATTCAGGGTGCAGGGCGGGAGTGAGCAAAAAGTGAGTGTGGATTGAATCCTACGGTTCAGGTGAAGGGACTAGCTGTAGGTGCGACTGTCCACAACTGCCCAATCTAGATTTCCTAGTTCCAGGTAAAGGCTAAGGGTTTTGGAGTGAGGGATTGAGATTTCCAGATCAGGATTTGGGGCTTCATGCCTCCAAATACAGCTTTGGCAGATTTGACCTACAATCCAGCTGAAAGACAAAGCGAGCTGACAAGACGAAGCGTTACACAAAAAACAATGACATTTGCCAAGATTCAGGCTCCCAGGGAGGTCCAGTACCCCTTAGGATTTACGGAATATATGATACGTTGGACTCAGCTTCCCAGAAACATTTACAGCATATTCCTCAGTTAAGGGGTAGTGGGCTTTCTGGGTTCCTTGTACCTTTGTGGGCGTCCCGATTATATGGATTATAATATTGGGGTTCTATATTGGGGTCCCCTTATTTTGGAAAACTACCATATCCACTTCCGTGAGCAAGGAGCGGTGTGTTGTGCAGACTCTGGATGGTCATTGGTGATGGGGCCTTCAAATGTGTCTTTGCGCAGAGGCATAACAAGGAGTTTCCAACATACCCGGGGTATGGCTAGTTTCTCTAAACCCTAAAGACCCCACAAGAAGGGGCCTGCCATGGCTGTCTGGAAACTCCCGCGTCAGGGAAAATGACATCACGATTCGTGAGCTGCCCGGGCATCACAGCCTGAGCGTAGTAGAGGAAAGGCCACAGACTAGCAAGATCCTTGGTCAACACTTCTCTCCCGGGCCCCAGAGCCAGAGATCTTCATGGGTTCGGATGAGGTCCAGACTCTAGGGGTCTGGGGAGTCTATTGTCTAATCATTTTGGAGCAACAATTACCAGGCATACATGCACCCATTTGTCTAGGTTTCTACGTTCCTTGCACGAGTAAACTTGCCGAGCCAACCTTACATGGAATGAGCCTTCCGGGGTGAAGTTGCCAGGGCCTTTGCTGCTGCGGGCCCGCAACGTACTTGGAAGCATGGGTCTCGCGACCCTTACGTCTGCCTGCTGAGGTGAAACCGAGGCGGCAAGCAGGGCAAAGCCAAAGCTCCGTAGAAGCCATGCGGTCTTCTTCTTCACCACATGAGTTGCAATATAAGCGATGATATACTTGTAATCTAAGGGCGCCAGCACCAAGATTCAGGACCTCTACGGACATTCGCCCTGCTGCTGTTCTGCAAGGCTTCCCTCATTCGTGGGCACTCCTTTACCTACTTCCTGCTGCCTACTGCAAGGGTGAGAATACGCGCGCTTATGAGACACACTGCTTGCAGATGTAGGAAATCTCTTGAAAAGCATGAAAGGATTCCTAGATGCCACCTTTTACTCAGCGGATTGAGAAAGCGCTTTGATTCGGGATGTCCGTTTGCTTGCGCGGGGCTCCTGTCAAGTGGAGGCTCCCTTCTCAATCTATTCTCGAAGTGTAAGAACAACGTGACACAATGACAGAGTGAAGGTCCTAAGTGGCGAGCCTTCACACAAAACGGGACTGCAAAGCTTCCCCATTGAGAAAACTACTCCACGACCGGCAGCACACGAAGATTTGGACGATCTGCTGTCAAAGCTTCTCTTCCAGCTAATACCCTTACATTCATAATGAGAAAAAGGCAATACAGTAACAATGATAACTTGTGAGAGTAGTTTTAGGAACATCAACGACAAAAATTACAATGACATTTCGACTACTGTACCACTGGTACCTGGACGAAAGCCAACGCGCGGGATGGCATCATCCACCCATGAACTGATACGACAGGCGTAGTACATTCCGACACTGCCTATCAACCGCTCCGCTAATGGGGCAAGGCCAACTGATGTTTGAGCAAGGCCTTTGATTTTTGGGAAGCCTGGCAAAAGCCTGGGAATTCTCGGTCCTCCATTGGAGGATTGAAGCCTCGAAACTTCTGGTCTTAGAGTATTTGATTTTTGGGAAGCCTGGCAAAAGCCTGGGCATTCTCGGTCCTCCATTGGAGGATTGAAGCCTCGAAACTTCTGGTCTTAGAGTATATCCTTTGGAGAGCCTGGGGGGCAAGAGTATTTTAGATAAGTGCAACCCTCAACATGGGATGAATGCATACACTACACAACTCCGGATTGAAAGAACTATTGATTTCCCCGCTTGAACTTCAGAAACTGGTTGCCTCAACAGGGCGTGGCGTCCTGAAAGGTTATATGCGCTCCCTCTGATGTGTTCTCAAGGGGCAAGTGGGAGAAACCACAATTTCAGTGTGCAGGTTAAAGATTAACACCAGTTTCCATGTCATTTCACATGTTCTTTTTGATTTGAGTCTCCATTATTGGGGTAATATCCCTAAACCCTAAACCCTAAATGGTAGTTTCCCTTTTCTTTTCTATCTCCCTAAAGAATCCTGTATAATCCCCCATCATTGGGGGTAAGATAACTTCATGGCCGGACCTCACTGCTTCTTGGGAGGCTCATCTGGTGCGATCATCTTCGGGAGCAGCGTCGCGGACATGAACAACGCCCCGGCGGGGACCAGGGCTGAGAAGGTGCCGAACTTCTTGTGATACTTCCTGGGAATGACTAAGAATTTTTTTTTGGGGGGGAGGTTGGGTTTTGAGTTGGGCTAGGCGCGCCTGGGTAGCCAGATACTATGGACGAAATCAATTCTCACGGCGCTTCAAAACTGGATGTTCGTTGCGACTACAGTCTTCAATAACCTAACCTACCTTTCGCACGCCAGCTGACCAGGAAGTCCAGCATAACTATGTACGTAGGCAACACTGTCCCCGTGCTTCTGCAGGATTGACTCTGGAAGATTCCCATTCCGGAAAGCAGTGACTCGTGGTGCCCTTGCACTCAGCAGTTGGCTCTAAGCAGCCCAGTACTCCGACATAGCCAAGAGAACAGCTTGGACCCATGGCCATCGCCTTTAACCGTCCTCCTAAACCCTAAACCCCAAAGCTCGATGTATGGCGATTGAAGAAAAGTCCGTACAGCCTGCATCCTGTTGCCGCTAGATACCTGGTGTCTGCATCTACCAATGACCAAAATTTAGTGTTTGGGGTTGTTCTTACTAATCCCCTCCCCCTTGCTAATCAAAAGCACACACCCCTCCCAGTAATCAATATTCTCACTAATTACAAAGAACATAAAGGAGCGGAAGGACTCATTATTAAGGATGGTGGGCGGTTCTATTTTTAGAGGGTGGTGATTGGCAAACACCTGTTGTTGGTTGACTCCCAGCTAGGATAAAGCAAGGGTTCAGAGTTTAGGGCTTCGGGAAATAAGTCGAGGGTTTAGGGCTTAGGGAAAAAAGTCGAGGTGTAGGATGTCCTTTGGTTTCTCCCTCATCGAATTAACCTACTTGCCCTCCATGTTGTATCAACACTGATGCCCTTTTCTGCCTCAAGAACACCAATCCTCTGATGAGCCACATGGGGCTTGTCATAGTTCAACCTGTTTCTGCTTAAGGGCTTCGGTAAGCACCTGAACCCGAAAGCCGATTTTGCTCGTGTTGGCATCTACGCACCAGGGCCCCAAAAATCGACGAGGCCTCGCACATCTCGAAGTCTAAAGCACAGGACATGAAGCGGGCTCTGATACTGGTAATAATAGTAGTAATACTAGTACTAATAACTTAAGGACCGGAGAACCCCACATGTGTAGTTTAACCAGAATGTAAGTGTGATACTATTAGGATACCGTCGCCCGGCAAAGAAAAAAAGAGATATAAACACAAAATGTTAACTCGCGATGATACAGAGGCGACGAGAAGACGAAACGATCGTTCCGAACGATGCGAGAAGCTGGCAACGCGAACCGGGATAAACTGAATGTTGGTCATGCATTTTATGACTCGAGATTATCATCTCGTTCTGCACGCCAGGCGGGAATGCAGAATTTTGCGTGGTTGAGGGAGCCAAGCCAAGCCTCCACCAGCTGAGTTCCAAAACCGGAAAATCAACTTTTTGACGGCTGAAACGCCCGTTTTGCTGGTTTTGGAACCCTCCAAGCCAAGCCTCCAGCAGCTGAGTTCCAAAACCGGAAAAT